GAAAAGGTTGGCTAACGGAGGTCGTCTGGTGGGCGACTCGGCTTCAGACCCTATCGTGGTGCCTCCGGACATGCTGGACCTGATGTGCAAGGAGTCTATCGATGTGGAGATGGAGCCTGTGGTGGAGGATCCCGGACCAGCGGTCGGGAACCCTGCTCCCGAGGAGGAAGAGGTGTGGGAGGTTCCTCCGCTTTTCGGCGTTGCCATGTCGCCGAGCGCTCTGGAGAGGCCTTTACAAATGATTGACGATGGGAAGCCGGCCGTGTATCTGGACGAGATGCCAGAGCCTGAGCCGAGTCCTCTTCCATTCCGCCCCCAGTACTTCCTAGAGGGTCCTCCGGCTGCCCGCTCGTCGACAGAGAAGGAAGCCAAGCCATGACTCTGTTTTTCTCTTGTAATTTGCACCGGCCGAGTCCTGGGCCTTGTAATTTTCGTGTTGATTTGAATAAATAGTGTGCTTTTCTTATCCGACCTCGCAATTTCTTACTATTTTGTCGCCCGACCTCGGATCCGTGAGACGGACCCCTAGTCTTGCTATGGCGAGATCCTCCTGTCGAGGGAGTCGCCGAGTCTGATCGCCGGCCCCGCGACCGGAATTTCTTCGTGAGCTCGGCCGATATCGTTTGATGGGCCGGGTCCTACCGGGTTGCTTCTAGAAGCTTCCAGCTCGTATCTCGTGGGTCCAGGGGCCATGGCCCACTACGGGCTTCCGGCTTAGCAGGCCGGGTCATGTGACGTTCGACCCTAGCCTAGGGCAGACGCGCCGTCTGTGAGCTAACCCTAGACCTGAACCGTCGCCCCGCCTTTTGAGGCATTGAATGCGGCGTCCCTTCACGTCTCGTCACCTCCGGCCCCTCCAACGAGAAGGTGGCACGTGGCCGCCCTTTGAAATTCTGACCCTTCAAATAGCCACTTCGTCTTTCTTCCCACTCTCTTCTCCAGTCTTCCTTTTCAGTTTCAACTTCGAGCTTCTCCGGCCACTCTGTTCCTCCTCCAATTTCCTTCCTGACCTAGGTAATGTCTTCTTCCTCGCATTCTTCTTCTTCTCGTCGTTACTCGGTCGACAACACCGAGGCGACTTCTCCCTCTTCTTCTTCTCCTTCTTCGTCTTCCTCTTCTCCTCCTCGTCGTATGGAACTTCCGGCGGACGTTCCATTGACGTCCTCTCTCCGCCATACGGAACTTCCCTCGGACGTTCCATTGACATCTTCTCTTCCTCCGACCCCCTCTTCTTCGGGGGCGGTCACTCCGCTGAGCCCCGCTCCTCTAACGACGGTGGCGGCTCTGCCGGGTGGCGTTATACGGCCGCGGGGCAAGTTTGATCCGATCGTCCGTCCCTCCGGGCCACCGTCCGTCGCTACTGCGGTGGATCTGGAGATGGCCCAGTATCTTCTTGGGCCCTCGGCCATAGTCCTTGCTCCGGAGGGCCGGCAAATTTACGACCCACCCGAGGGTTGCGTCGGTATTCATCTGCACTCGGTTGCCTTTGGCTTCCGAGTTCCTCCATGTCTTTTTCTCTCTCTTTTTTACCGCCATTATAACTTGGTTCCGGGCCAATTAGCGCCCAATTCTCACCGACTCCTCACTTGTTTCATCAATCTCTGCCACTGGTGGTTGTGCGAGCCGGACCTCGACCTGTTCCGGTATCTTTTTACCGTAAACAAGGTCGGCTCGCACTCGCCGGGCTTCGTTCAAGTCGCCGCTCGCCCGGGGCGACAGCTTTTCGAGGGGTTGTCCGATTCCATCAAGGATTGGAAGCTCCTTTATTTCTTCGTCCGCCCTGCCCTTTCTTCTTTCACTTTTCCGACCCTGTGGTCGGCCGCTCTGTTCAAGCCTTGTCCTCGACGTGCCGTTCCTTCCGATGATGCGGTCTTGGGCGGCGAGTTCTTGAAGGGCTTCGGGTCGTACTCCGTCAAGTACTGGTCCCGAGTCCGGGCCATGGCTAAGCGTGGCTTGCTACCGGAGGGTGCGGCCACCGTAGGTAGTCTTCGTTACCCCTCATTCTTTTCCTATCTCGCCATATTCCGACTCGGAACATCTCATGCTTTCTCTTTCCTTTTTGCAGGTCCGTACGACTCCGACTCCTCCAGCTCCGACGAGGCGTTTGAACCGACTCCCGAGATGGCAGACAGAGCCGAAAAGATGAGGCGTCGGCTGATCCAACGCTCCTCCGGTACTGCTGCCGCCTCTTCTTCTCTACCGTCTCCAGCTCCCAGGCCGACTCCTCCTCCTCCTCAGAACGTGGTGGATCTGACTCCGTCGCCAGTGGTGTCGCCCACTCGGCAGCCACCTCCTCCTCAGACAGAGAGCTCCGGCTCTAAGCGCCCGGCTGTTCAAACTGACGAGCCGGCTCCAAAAAGGATCCGGCTGTGCCATGAGGTAGAGGAGGATGCCCAGATCTGGATGGGCACCTCCTCTGTCCGTAAGTGGTGTGCTAACGTCCTTTTACCTAAGGACGTGGAGGCGACTCATGCTCTGGGGGACGGGTACATCCTCGAGGCCTCACTGCGCCAATCGTACCGCGTAAGTGTTTCCCACTTGACCTCCCCTTCGTCCTTTCCTTTCATTGCCTGACTCGTGTCTGTTTCGCAGAACCTCACCTTCCAGATGGAGATGAGTAAGCGGTTGCAGAACTATTTGACCGACATGCGGTCTATGTCCAACAAGCTACGTCAGACGGAGGAGGCCTTTTTGGAAGAGTAGGCGAAGCACCTCAAGGTGGTGGAGGTGCACAACTCCGAGATGCTGAGGGTTACTCGCCAGTGGGAGGAGGAGCGAGACAAGGTGGCGACGATTGCTGCGACCTCTGTCGAGGAGTACAAGAAGTTGGCCGCCTTCGAGGCGGAGGTGAAGGCGGCGATAGAGGCTCGCCAAAAAGAGATCGCTAAGGAGTGGCTGTCGACGCCGGATGGCGACGAGTTTCTCCTGGACTTGGGCGAGCGCGACTATCGCCTCGGCTTTCGCGAGGCGCAGACAGAGATCCATGCTGCCTTGCTGGTCCGCGACTCCTCTTTCACTCCCGAGAGCTGGGGCCTCAAGCCCGTGATAGATGCTCTTCCGGCGACTGAAGGACAGTCGGCGACTGGAGACCCGGCAGCTCTTCCGGCCTCCTCTGATCCGGCGACTCTTCCTTTAGCAACACCTCCTGAGCTCGCCGTGTCCTCTCTTCAGGCCGAGGACCCTTCTTCTGTTCCCCTGACTGGACCAACGGCAGGGGCCCAAGTCGAAGGGATTGATGTCGACACCCCCTCCCCCGTAGTTTAGGGCTGTTCTATTTGGGGATAGCCCCTTTTTTTGTAAAGGCTGGCCTCCTTTTCGGGCCTTTTTTAATGAAATTCCCCCTTTTTTCCTTTTCGTATTATCTTGAGCTCGACGCTTTGTCCTTTAACCTAATCTCTTTTAACTGCTCACCGAGTCCTTCTGTCGAGGCGACTTTTCACGGTTTTTCTGCAGGCACGACTAAGGGTCCAGGCCCTTGTTTCCTGTCTTTTCTTGCCGAGTCCCTCGGTCGAGGCGACCCATTAGGCCTTTTCTATCTCAGAAACAGTTTAGGGTCAGTGCCCCGTCGTTTTTCTCAATACTCGCCGAGTCCCTCAGTCGAGGCGACTCCTGTAGGCTTTTCCTCGGAAACGTCTAAGGGTCTGGGCCCTTGTTTCCTATCTTTTCTTGCCGAGTCCCTCGGTCGAGGCGACCCATTAGGCTTTTTCTATCTCAGAAACAGTTTAGGGTCAGTGCCCCGTCGTTTCTCTTAATACTCGCCGAGTCCCTCAGTCGAGGCGACTCCTGTAGGCTTTTCCTCGGAAACGTCTAAGGGTCTGGGCCCTTGTTTCCTATCTTTTCTTGCCGAGTCCCTCGGTCGAGGCGACCCATTAGGCTTTTTCTATCTCAGAAACAGTTTAGGGTCAGTGCCCCGTCGTTTCTCTCAATACTCGCCGAGTCCCTCAGTCGAGGCGACTCCTGTAGGCTTTTTCTCGGAAACGTCTAAGGGTCTGGGCCCTTGTTTCCTATCTTTTCTTGCCGAGTCCCTCGGTCGAGGCGACCCATTAGGCTTTTTCTATCTCAGAAACAGTTTAGGGTCAGTGCCCCGTCGTTTCTCTCAATACTCGCCGAGTCCCTCAGTCGAGGCGACTCCTGTAGGCTTTTTCTCGGAAACGTCTAAGGGTCTGGGCCCTTGTTTCCTATCTTTTCTTGCCGAGTCTCTCGGTCGATTAACTGTAACCCATGTGCTTTATTTAGATTTTTGGAATCCTTGAGCATGTACACGGCCTATCCTTTTCTACTGATAGAACCTTTTCAAATGGGTGGCGTTCCATATGCGATCTATGAGCTTGCCTTCCATGGTCTCTAGCTTATAGGCTCCGGCTTGAACCACCGCTGCAATACGGTATGGCCCCTCCCACTTAACCGCAAACTTGCCCCCTTCGGTGGGCTGACTGGCCTGTCGATCGCGTAACACGAGGTCGCCAACCTGGAAGGTTCGCGGGCGAGTCTTCTGGTCGCGATATCTTTTCACCGCCTGCTGGTACTCGACCATCCGTGCACTCGCGGCTTCCCTCCTTTCTTCTAGGAAGTTTTTCTCGATCCGCAAATTCTCCTAGTTCGCTGCATCCGAGTAGGTGCGAACCCGGTGGGTGGGTTCGACTACTTCGACTGGAACTTTGGCCTCGAAGCCGTATGCGAGCGAGAACGGGCTCTCCCCCGTCGCTCGCCGCTGGGTAGTGCGATAAGCCCATAGGACTCGGTCAAGCTCGTCCGCCCAACTTCCTCGGATGTCTTCGAGCTTCTTCCGGATCCCATCGACCAACGTTCGATTCACATTCTCGACCTGCCCATTGGCTTGTGGGTACGCCACCGAGACCTTGGTGTGCTTGATACCGTGTCGGCGGTAGAAATCAACGAAGGCCTGGCAGTCAAACTGTCGCCCGTTGTCGCTGACGATGTGCTCGGGCAGGCTGAAGCGACATATCACCCTTTTCCACAGAAAACGTCGACATTGGTACTCAGTGATGGTAGCCAATGGTTCTGCCTCGACCCATTTGGTGAAATAGTCGATAGCCACAACGCAAAACTTCAGACCTCCCGGGGCGACGGGCAATGGCCCCAACAAGTCTATTCCCCACTTGGCGAAGGGGATGGCAGTGGTGACCGGTGTATAAAAGGTGGCCGGCCGGGTCTTTCCTGGCGAATGCTTGACAAACGCCGCACCTGGACATCCATTCGATGCAGTCTCGCATCATGGTCGGCCAATAATACCCTTGAACGACTAACTTCTGGGCGAGCGTGTGGGCGCCCTGGTGCGCGGCACAAATGCCTCTATGAGCTTCGTCCATTATTTTCTCGGCCTCGGGTCTAAGCAAGCACTTTAGTAAGGGTCCACCGAACGACTGTTTGTATAGCAGTCCGTCGATGATCCGGAAGGAGGGGGTTTTCCGCCGAACTTTCGCGGCGACTCCCGGGTCTTCCGGTAACTCGCCTTTTTCTAAGAATCGCCGGATGTCCTCTATCCAGAACATTTCGGGATTTTTCCCTCGATCCCATTCCCCGAGATCTACTTGCTGGACTTCCGGTGGTGTCTCTCCAACACTCGGCCGATGTAGCTCCTCCTTCTGGCAAATTTTTATCAGATGGTCCGGTACCCCTTCCAAGGCGATTTTGGACAATAAGTCGGCTTCCGTGTTGTCCGTTCGGGGTATGTACTCTATCTCGTAAGCCCCGAACCCTTTTAACATCTCGACCGCACGCTCTTTGTATAGCACCATCCTTGCATTCTTAGTTTCACATGTACCCGAGATCTGTCCGACTACCAGTCTGGAGTCAGTCTTGATTTGCAGCCGCTCGACTCCCAGGGCCTTGGCGAGTCGGAGGCCGTTTAATACCGCTTCGTACTCGGCCTCATTATTTGATGTCGAGAACCGATATCTCAGAGCGTAATATAGCCGGAATCCTTCCGGAGTGATGAGCATGACACCGCCCCCACAGTGCTGTCGGCTCGACGCTCCGTCCGCGTGCATTTCCCACCACTCGCCTGGGCAGCTCTCCGAGTCGTGTTCTTTTTCTTCTTCACTTGCTGTGCATTCGACCAGGAAGTCGGCTAGGGCCTGACCCTTAATGGAAGGCCGAGGTTGGTACTCAATCCCATACTGAGTCAACTCTACGGCCCACTTTACAAGTCGGCCGGAGGACAAGGGGTTTCTTAGCACGCTTCCGAGCGGCTGATCTGTCAAAACTCGAACGGTATGGGCTTGGAAATAGGGTGCCAGCTTGCGCACGGTAACTATCAACGCATACACAATCTTCTCCACAACGGTGTACCGCGTCTCGGCGGCCTTCAGCGAGCGACTTACGTAATAAACCGGGTGCTGGACTCGGTCATCCTCTCGGACCAATACCGAACTCACTGCTTTGGCTGAGGCAGCGAGGTACAAGAATAAAGGCTCGCCCACCTGGGGGGTAGACAGCACTGGGGGCGTTGAGAGGTACTGTTTCAACTCTTCGAACGATCGTTGGCATTCGGCTGTCCAAGCAAATCCCTCCTTCTTCTTCATGGCTTCGAAGAAGGGTACGGTCTTATCCGCCGCTTTGCTCAAGAAGCGGCTAAGGGCGGCCAATCGGCCAGTCAGCCGTTGCAAGTCCCTGACGGTTGTAGGAGGCTGCATGTCGATGATGGCCTGTACTTTTTCCGGATTAGGCTCGATGCCTCGTTTGGTGACCATGTAGCCCAAGAATTTGCCACCTTGGACGGCGAACGCGCACTTTTTGGGGTTCAGCCGAAGGTTGTATTTCATCATTACCTTGAAGCAGTCGGCCAAGTCCTCCGCGTGCTTATCCTCCTCCCGGCTCTTGACGAGCATATCGTCGACGTATGCAGCCATCGATTTCCCAAGCAGATGTTGGAACAACCGGGCGACCATCCGGGTGTACGTAGCCCCGGCATTTTTAAGCCCGAAGGGCATGACTCGGTAACAGTAAACTCCGTCCGGTGTCAGGAAGGCGGTCTTCTCCTCATCCGCCAGGTGCATAAATATTTGATGGTACCCTCTGAAGGCGTCCATGAAACTCAGTAGCGCCGACTCGGCCGTTTCGTCGACTAACTGGTCGATCCGAGGTAGGGGAAACGGGTCTTTCGGACAAGCCTTATTAAGGTCGGTGTAGTCCACGCACATTCGCCACGCCGGGGGCTTGGGCACGAGGACCACATTGGCCAACCACTCCGGGTACTTAACCTCGCGGATGTGCCCGGCCGCTAGTAGCGTGCCAACCTCCTTCTTCACGAATTCCCTCCGGTCGTTGGCTAGGTATCGTTTCTTCTGTACGACCGGTCGGTGCTCCGGATCTACGGCGAGTTTGTGGGATATGATTGATCGGTCGACGCCAGGCATGTCCTCTGGGCCCCAGGCGAAAACCGTCCGGTGCTCCCGGAGCACCTTTACAATTTCTTTTTTCAATGTCTCGGAGAGGCCGACTCCAATTCGGACCCGTCGGTCTGGCCGTGTAGAGTCGATCTCGACTTCCTCCAACTTGACAGCAGGCTCTGGGCGAGGTAGTATCGTCTTCTTCGGGGGCCTCTCAGTGATCTCATGGATCCGCATCTCGCGTTTGCCCATCCCTCTGCATGCCTGCAGATAGCAGTCGCAGGCGACCTTCCGATCACAGCGCACCGTACCTACTCCATTCGGTGTGCGGAATTTCAAGCAGAGATGCTCAATTGAGATCAAGGCTCCTAAATCCTCAAGACCCGGTCGGCCAAGTATCGCGTTATGCGAGCAGGCCAGGTCTACCACAATAAATTTCATGCTCAGTTTCTGTACGTCCGGGTACGTGCCAATCTCCACTGGGAGTGTGATCGACCCTTCTGCCTCCACCGAGTCCCCTGTGAAGCCGGCGAGGGGGGTTTTGACGGGGTTCAGCTGTTCTCGAGTCAGCCCCATTTTGGTGAAGGTTTCTAGATATAGCACGTTGACGCTGCTTCCGGTGTCCACCAGGATTCGCCGAACGATGATGCCGTTGACGTCCATGGCTATAACCAACGCATCTCGATGCGGTATTTCTCCGGCTGGTAAGTCTCTGTCGGTGAACACGATGGGATCTCGACACACCTTTTTGGAGTTCTCCTCACGCCCGTACACTGTCCCGACGTACAACTGCCGAGCCCAAGCTTTTCTGGTGTTCGCTGAATCACCACCTTCCGGCCCGCCAACTATCATGTTGATAACCGGTTTTTGGCGCCACTGAGCCTCCTCCTCTTCGGAAACCGGCTGTTTGCCTCGACCGCTTTTGGCAACTGCGACGGGTTCCTCATCCCCTCGACTGCCCGGCCTTCGCCTCCACTGGTTAGGAGGCGGGGTTCCTTGCTGGATGATGCCCTCTATGATCTTCTTCAGGTAGAAGCACTCCTCCGTACTATGGGTATAATATTTATGATAACGACAATACTTAGCGTTCTTACCCATCTCTTCGTTCGTCGCGCGATCGTCGGTCGGCGGAGGCGGAGGCGGGGCAACCGCTTGTACCTCGTGGACCGGACGCTCGGGAATCGGCCGATAGGCGTGGACCACTGGTCGGTCGTACGGCCGTCTAACTTCGGGTCGCCGCGCCATGTCCGGGCGCCTTTCTTTGGCTTCCGCTCGCGTTCTCTTTCCGCTGGCAGATCCGCCGACTTCGCGCTGTCGCTTGTACTTCATAGCCTGCTCCGTATTGGCCCTCTTGTTGGCCATATGAATGGCTTCTGCGTAGGTGGCCGGCCGATTGTCCCTCAGGTCTCGATACAGCTGGACGGACCGCAGCGACTCGATGAAGAAGGTGAGCGCCGTCTGGTCCTCGACCTCTTCTATGGACTGGATTTCTTTCTGCCAGCGGGCCAGATAGGTTTTTAAAGGTTCGCCTTCGTCTTGACGGATGTCACCCAAATGAGTTAGGTCCTTTTGTGGCTTAATGTTAGCGGCGTAATGGCTCATGAAGCGGTCTGCCAGCTCTTCAAAGTTGTGAATCGACCCTGAGGGCTGCGCCACCAGCCACCTTTGTGCTGACCCCTTCAACGTGGGTAAGAAAGCACGACACATGACCGGGTCTCGTACCCCCAAAACCTGCATCTTGGCCTGATAGCTCAGCAAATGCTCGCGGGGATCGCCGGTTCCATCGAACGTGGCTTGCTCCGGGAACTTGAAGTCGCTCGGTATCTTAAAAGCCATAACCTCGTCTGAGAAGGGTAAGGCGGTCAGCAACGTACGTCCTGGGGATTTGGCTTTTCCCTCCATCCGTTTTTTCAGATTTCGCACCTCCTGTACTAGGTTAGCCACTTCGACCCTCTCCCGGGTGCGGTTTCCCGTGGATTCCGTGCTTTCGCCGACTTCAGACTCAGCCGGTTGGACGGGGTTGCGGGGAGGTCGCTCCACGCGACGAGTCTCAGTCCTGGCTCTTTTGGTTCGGCTCTTCTCTCGTGCAGCTTGTCGGTCGCGGGCGGCTAACGGGGCACGACTGGGCTCCTTCCGGCCTAATCGTTCCCTTGCCGACCGACGCCCAACGCTGGGACCTAGCCGGGAATGAACGGATTGTACCGGTTGGCTTTCAGCCCGTCGGCTCAATTGCCGGTTGTCGGGCCTCTGAGGCGGTTGCAACTCGCGTTGCGGCTGGCGAGTGATGGACTGTTCTCTCACTCCTAGGCTTGCTTCCGCGCAGGCGCGCCCGATTGCGCGCAACTGCTCCGGGGTGAGCAGCACTTGGGGTAATTGCGGGTTTCTCTGCGGCGTCGGCGGCGGTGTCGTCTCATTTTCTTGGCTCCGAGCATTTCTCCTATTCAGCTGGCTTCTCAAGTCGGCCTCTCGTCCGTTGTCGTGACGGCTCGACTGTTCTTCGCTTCCTGCCATGTCTGGAGTTTTCCTGATTCAACTATTGTTCCTCGGACTCGCCTCACTCAAGAGGACACGTGACTCTTCGTTTCGATCCCCACAGACGGCGCCAGTGATGGTTTTAGGGTTTTTGGGCCCAAGGAGGTCCAACACAACCTTTGGTCGGAGGATACACCTCTCAATAATATTTATGTCTAACTCAGAGATAATAACTGTGCTCAGAAATTCTTTGTTATTTTCCACTCCTCCGGGTGTCCGGAAATGTCTGCCTTTTACAAAAATGGAGGAGCCTTTATATAGTGGCTCCTCCTCTGCCGACTTGAAGGCCCTTAATGGCCGACTTCAAGGCTAATCAAGGTGTGGAGCCGTTGGATGCCATTACTCGGTCAACAAACGGCTCTCCTGGGCTTGTAACAGCCCGACCGGGTCCTGTTTTTAATGCTTCAACGGCTCTCTTTTAAAGGAACCCCTTTAATGCCCTCAACGGCTCCTCGAGCCGGGTCCTTTCCTGGGCTTGGGCCTCGGCCGACTCCTGGACTCGACCTGACTACTCTTTGGGCTCCTCTCGATGCTGGCCCACTTCCATTTTCTTTGGGCCCCTATCTCTTGGGCCGGGGTCCTTACCCAATCACCCACCAATAAAGTAATTATTTATAAATCAAATTTTAAAAGTAATTAATTAACTTACTATTAATAAGCATTCAAAAAAAAAAAACTTACTATTAATAAATTCATAGCAGGTTGAAACATTATGTTAAAAGTTTTATTATGCTTAAAAATTTTACATCATAAAAAATAATTAAAACATTAATATACACTAATACTTATACTTATTGATTTATAAATTCAAAGATGTTAGGTTAATGTATTTCAGCTGACTAAATACTTTTTTTTTTTGGTATTAATATTGAAGGGAGAAGAGGAACTGCTTGGCCAAGTGCCTGGAAATATTGTGAGGGCATGTAAGCTGTGAATTAAAAGAGCTTGGGAGGTTAATATCATTCATATTCTTGGGGAACATAACAAAGTTGTTGATAGCCTGGTCAAATTTGTAGTTAGAGATCGTTATGACGGGCCTGGATTGAGTTCAAAGATCGCCAAAGAGATATTCAAGGGAACCTTGAGAGAGACAAAAGTGCAAATTATGCTCTGCAACTGTGTACACCATGTATGATACACACGGTTACAAAAACTACGTCGTCTTGACTAAAAACGCGCGTTCCACTTAAAAAAAAAATTAGGTTCGATTCCCGGCAATATCATTTTTTTATGCATAATTTGAATTATATATCCACAAATTCATAACTATATATCCACAAATTTATAACTATATATCCACAGTGAATGGATTACACAAAATTCAAAATGAATGAACTAAATATCCACAATGAATGAACTAAATATCTACAATCAATGAACTAAATATCCACAATGAATGAACTAAATATCCACAATGAATGAGCTAAATATCCACAATGAATGAACAACATAATGCTGTTGAGGGGAATCGAAACTGATTTTTTTTTTTTTAATGGGACGCGCATTTTAGTCAAAACGGCGTCGTTTTGCAACCGTGTGCACCATGCATAGTGCACACAGTTGCACGGCATAACTATTGGAGACAAAAGCGTGATCGCCCATTGCAACGGTCCTACTGCAGAGAGACATTAGTTTGGTCCGGTATTCCCTTCCCCCATGCAAAAAAAAAAAAAGAGAGGAATCTTGATACCAAATGCTGGGATTTTAGCATTATGTGTTTGCAGTTAACATGTGCCTATAGTAGTTAATATATTATGTGTTTTCAATTTATTTACAGAGACATAATTTATTAACTGAAGGCACACAATATATTAATTGTAAAAAATATATTAATTTATTATTGTGATGTGAGAGTATCACTTTTGAAAGTGAGAGATCAAAGTATTACAGAGATGTAAAAAAAAAAAAATAGTGAAAAGAATTATAAATTTGATGATATGAAAATATAAGACTAACTTTGAAAGTGAGAGAATATTGCATGGACAAGG